ACAATAATAAATATAATCAATAATTGATTGTACTGTATGTTAATAACATAATATAGCAGCTATCCATTCTATTTATTTTACAGACTATTTGAAAGAGCCATCAAGTCACTGTCTTTGTCATGAATACTTTTACTTTTTATGTCTGACAAAGCTAAAGATGCGCCAGATCTAAAGTACATGAAAACTAGTGATAGAAGTATTACTAGTGGTATTTTTAATAGTGATACATCTGGAGGAGATACGTTTCTTATTCTAACCACAACATTTTGGAAAGTGTCTTCAGTTGGTTGTGAATGTAAAGTGCCAACAATTATAAAATATTAATTGAAAAGGTTTTCCAATTATGATTGAATTTCACTACTACTTTGCACAAGTCTCCAGCAAGATAAGCCGGATACTTTCCCTGAATGCATAATTGTGTGTATGTAATTCTAATTGCGCTTAAAATATGTATGTAACAGATAATGCATTACTTTTTATTTTCTTTTTTAGATTGGAAAATATGCCGTTGCCACATGCTCTGTCGAGACTCTGTACACTACCACTGCCCTTCCTGCAATATAACGCTCATTCGAAAATCTGATATGGAAAGGCATTTATGTATATGTAATAGCCCTGCAGCTCCTCCTCTACAGTCCTCGGTGTCTGCAGCTCCTCCTGTGCAGTCCTCGGTGTCTGCAGCTCCTCCTGTGCAGTCCTCGGTGTCTGCAGCTCCTCCTGTGCAGTCCTCGGTGTCTGCAGCTCCTCCTCAGCAGTGCTCGGTGTCTGCAGCTCCTCCTGTGCAGTCCTCGGTGTCTGCAGCTCCTCCTGTGCAGTCCTCGGTGTCTGCAGCTCCTCCTCAGCAGTGCTCGGTGTCTGCAGCTCCTCCTGTGCAGTCCTTGGTGTCTGCAGCTCCTCCTGTGCAGTCCTCGGTGTCTGCAGCTCCTCCTCAGCAGTGCTCGGTGTTTGCAGCTCCTCCTCAGCAGTGCTCGGTGTTTGCAGCTCCTCCTGTGCAGTCCTTGGTGTCTGCAGCTCCTCCTGTGCAGTCCTCGGTGTCTGCAGCTCCTCCTCTACAGTCATTGGTGTCTGCAGCTCCTCCTCTACAGTCCTTGGTGTCTGCAGTTCCTCCTCTACAGTCCTCGGTGTCTGCAGCTCCTCCTCTGCAGTCCTCAGTGTCTGCAGCTCCTCCTCTACAGTCCTCGGTGTCTGCAGCTCCTCCTCTACAGTCCTCGGTGTCTGCAGCTCCTCCTCTACAGTCCTCGGTGTCTGCAGTTCCTTCTCTGCAGTCCTCGGTCTCTACTCCGAATGCCAAGAAAGTGAAATGCCCTCATTGTGCACTTGTGTGTTTGGCAAAAAACCTTTCTGTTCATATCAAGCGCAAACATCTACCCAAAGAAATGGACATTACTGCTCTAAATCACCTAAACGGTGTATGCGTCGATGAATGCAACGGAATTTTTTCGATGCAAAAAGACAGACATGGGTTTTCTGTGCCTGTTCATGCTGTAAGGAAAACTTGGGGTAGGGAACACAGAGTTGTGTGCGAGTTGGAGGATTGCACGCAATTTCACCAAATGGCCATCAGGAGTGGGGTACCAAACCTCCAGTGTGAGCACATTCGCTCTATTGATTATTGCTCGGCAACAGCTGTGGAGGAGTGTCTCGTAGAGGGCATTTTAATGCAAATGGTGGGTTGGCTGAGGTGGTTTTCGGAGGCCATGGAAATATTTTGGGGATCTCTCTCTACAGACAACAACGTGATGGTTGATATGTGAGTGTTCATATATGGTTCTTGGGATCGCCGTTATAAATTATGTCTTACCTAACCAGGTGATTGTTAAATGCCCGCGTCGTATCTCTCCGGCCACATCGGGTGCACCGTAGCATATTATCATGTGAGCGGAATGTGCTGGCTAAACTGGAGTTTGGTACCCCACCTCCTGATGGCCATTTGTGAAATTGGCGTGCAAGCCTCCTTCTCGCACTCATTCGCTGGGTGCCTTCCCCAAGGTCCTTATCAGCTTGATCATGGCTCAGTAAAACATAATACCCATTCTGTCTTTTGCATTCGTAAAAATTTCCGTTGCTATTCAGGACGCTTACACCGTGTGAGGGGAGTGATGTGCTGGATTTGGCCTGGCTGTGGGGTAGTAGGGTGGGGGGCCTTGTGATGTTCTGATATGGGGTGTTGTGCCTATCACACTAAGTGCACTTGGGTAGGGGCATTTCACTTCTTGGCTTAGCGGGATAGAGACCGGGAGGACTGCTGAGAAGGTCGGCTGACATCTCGGAAGACTGTAGTGGAGGTGCTGCTGACATCGCGAGGTCTGTAGAGAGAGACGGCAGTCACCGAACTGGATATATATATGTGGTAGGAGCGGCTGATCACGGGAGACTGTAGTGGAGGTAGACTGCTGACACCGTGGATGTAGAGGTGGAACTGCTGACATGTTACCAATGTCTGGAGTGGTGTGCGCAGACGCCAATGACTGTAGGGAGGATGGTAGCGGCAGTACACCGGAGGACGGGCTCAGGAGGGACTGCAGACACCAAGGACTCGGCACAGGTGGACTAGCAAACACCCGAGCACTGCTGAGGAGAAGGCTGGCAAACACCGTGCACTGCTGAGGAGAGCGGAGACTACCGTGGGACGGCACAGGAGGAGCGGGGCAGACTCCAAGGTCTGCACTAGGTGGAGCGGCTGTACACCTAACGGGTGCACCTGCTGTGGAGAGCTGCAGACTCCGAGGACTGCACAGGAGGACTTCAGACACGAGGACTGCACAGGAGGAGCTGCAGACACCGGAGCACGCGGTGGAGAGCTCTGTCTACCGTGGGTCGGCATCAGTGGTGCTGCTACCGCTCCGTGGTACGGGAAAAGGGAGAGCTGCAGGACACCAGAGGTAGGCTTCAGGAGGAGCTCAGTACTACCGTGGACTGTGTAGAGGAGGAGCGGCTAGGGCTTATGACATTTACATTAAGGCCGGTCCTGAGCTGATTTTCGTAAGTGCGGTAGATGGTGCTGGAAGGGCTGAGGTAGTGTTACAGAGTCTCGACAGAGCATGCGGGCTTTCGGCACATTTTTTCCAATGCCGAAATATTGTAAAATTAATTGTTATTGCTTGAGCGGGGTACATTCATATTTTATGCGCAAATTTGAATTACAATACACACAAGGAGGGTCTTCAGGGTTTAGGTTCCGCTTTGCTTGCTGGAGACTTGTGCAAAGTATAGTGAATGTCAAGCTGTATGGGTATAATCCTGGCTATAAGAGTGTGTATTAATGTGGGGGGGCATCTTTACTATTCACAACCAACGGAAGACACTTGCCTAAAATGTTTGTGGTTGAATATGAGCGTATCTCCTCCAGATGTATCACTTAGGTAATATTTCCACTAGGATGACTTCTCTCACTATTTTCAATGTATACTTTTAGATCTGGCGCAACTGTAGCGGGGTCCAGACATAATTGTGAATATAATGCCTACTAATGACAGTGATCGGGTTGGCGCGTTCTTTAGTCCGGTTAATATAATAGTTTGGATTGCTGCTATTTGATGTTATTAACATACAGTAAGAATTGGACATTACTGCTCTAACGCACATAAACGGTGTATGCGTCGTGAATCTGTCACTTACAATTCTGATAGAAATACATGGCACTGCCCCTGTTCAAAGCCCAGAATGTCCTGTGCTCATAAGAATATTTCTAAATGGCACCTCTTTCAAACCAACAGAAACATGTTTACAGGGAGAAATGATACCAATGCGTTGTCCAATGCCCCATACCCACCACAAGACCCCACCCGGATTATTAATTACCTTTATGAAAATAAGAGAATTCCTCCAAGTCTTCCTGACAGTGCTCTGCAGTCAAAGCCTCTTCACACCTACAATCTTGAACTTCAGCCAGAGGAAAGTCTTTGCACTGTATGTGTCACAGTGCCACTGTCCAAATCAGAAGTAATTACAAGAAATGCTAAAATTGTCACAATTGGAGGGGTTATTGAGAGTAAGTCTAATTGTTTGTTGTGGGTACACTGTATTTTTACTGATCTTTTACTGACCTTTCTCTGCAGATGTGTCCACTTATTACAGACAATGCCCACAATGTGGCATGGTTTATCGTTATCAAGAGTGGAAAGATGGGCTACATAACTTTGATGACCATCTCGTTTTAAACCTTGAGATGTGTCTGTACTTGAGGCATAATCTACAGGTTTGTTTATTTTATTTTTGGCATGTTCATCCATCTTAACAATATGGCTTCGTTTTTTAAATTAATGAAACAAATCTCCTGCAGAACAATGTTGCCGTGTCCAAAGTAATCAATTCTCTGGAAGGCCTCAGAGGAAAACCCTTTCCTTCCAGAAATGCCATTCTCCATGCTTACTGCCACTTTGAAGCCATGACAGATCAGACATATGAGTATTCATGTGTCAGTTGTGGATACCACCCCCACACTGTGGTCATGGACCTTCACAGGAAAGGGGTGTTTAACCTTCCTGGTAAGGCAATGTTTTGAAAAAAGTTCTAATGAATTCCTAATATAAAAGTTAAGGGTTGCAAGAGACAGACTCGTCCTCCTAGGGCACTTTCCTGAGTCATGGCTGTCTGTCCTGTTTAATAACGCTAACTCTTTTCTGTTTTTTTTTTTCAGTAAGCGAGGTTGCAGCGGCCTCATCTACCTTCAATGGAGTAGTTGACACTGACGGCTTTTGGAAATCGATTGACTTTGACATGATCTCCCGAGGATTTTTAAAAAGTAAAGACAATGATTGACGGATTGTTTATTTTTGTTATTTACCTTTTGGTTTTATTTTTTTGTTAAGCTTGTTCTGAGAACCCATTTACTGTTCATCCCAGTTATGAATACTGGGCTCCATGGATTGGAAGGAGGACAAGAAAATCAAACATGGCCTTGAACACAGAGTTTGAAAAAATTGCCTCAAATCGGACTGTCACTTCAGCAGAGGTTCTTGTTACAGAGGATCGGCTGGTTGATGAGCTGATGAAACAAAAGGTGCGTGTGAATACTTTTGAAATTTGACTAATCTCATAGTGCATATTAATGTCAGTATTTAACCGCTGTACAAAGTGTGATGGAAGGCATTTCAATAAAAGATTACAATTATGAGTTCAAATTAAATTTTCAAAGTTTAATATAGATATGGAGCTGTATTACAAGAAATGTGTGAATGTGGCACACCGTGGTCACAGCAGAGTGTCCCTGCTCTAGGTTCGGGAAGCCTCCTAAACATAAGCATTGGGAGACATCAGGCTGAGATTAATCTATGATTAAACCACGCTATATGCATTCATTTTTTTGATCAATCGCATGAATGTTAACTTTGACAGCCATAGTGTGAATGTAGTATTTTGTATTAGTTTATGATTTACATATGGAATATATTTGGTGTCTTTAAGGTTTCAACAGTGCGTAAACTATGCAAAGCCTGCAACCTGGACTCGAATGGGTCGCGTATGAACCTCATACTACGACTCCGGGAGGAAATGAAGTCCAGGCACACTTATGACAAAGTGTTCCAAAAGATCTGGGGAGCATCTGGTACAGCTCATGTTCTTCATCCTCAAAAATTTGTATTATGCATTTTTGGTAACTTTTAATTTTTATTTTAAGGTGGCTGGTCTGTGATACTCTGTCCTCACGGCATTGTTTACAGCATTAAATTCAATATCAGGGCAGAGTCCCCACGGGACTTTGCACATTCCAAATGTTTGTGTGTATGATTTTGCCCGGGGGTTGGCAACACACGGAAATGTACGGTCACCAATAGATCTTCCTTTTAAGCCTCATGAAGGAAGACTAGCGTCGTCTACCCCAGAGAACATTGCAGCAGCTCAACAAAAAAAACTAAAGGTGTCTCTGCCGTGGCTTCATCAAAAGCTTGCCCTTCCTGACCCCAATGGACATCCGATAACTGGTTCCTCAGACCACTATATACTTTATGACAAATTTCATGAGACTAACACAAAAAGTCCTCAAGAAGTTCTCAGGCGAATTGGAATTGTCTCTGAACTGCACACATCACTAAACAGTCAAGCCGCAGAGCAGCTGTTTGCCACTTTAAGGAAGAACAATTACTTCCTTAACAACATGGCCCCCTCAACCCACATTTTTCTCATGCGAAACATAATACATCACCAAAATAACACAAAAAACGACAAATACATAAAGAGACAATTGCAAAGAGGACAAACAATTCACGACATTGAGAAGAATAATCTTGGACAAGCCATATTTGGTGAATAAAACTTCAATTCCCATATTTAATGCCACGAAAGAACCTACATGACCACTCATTACATCTTGGTTTTCCAGCAATGCAAGCATCGCGGCCCTCACAACATGAACATGTAGCCCACTGACGAAGGTGCCAAGTTTTGATGGTCATCTTATTGTTAAAATTCTGATATGACTTAGCTTTAACATTGTTACATCTTAACTGATATTTCTAGATGCTTGTGGGCCTCATTGTGAAAATGAGTGTAATTACAGTATGGTAGAGCCACGTAAAGCATGTTGGACACAAGCAAGACATCCTGCGCAAGTGCATCTTGTGAGTTCATAAGGTTTTAAATAATTTTACATTCTAAATAAATACATCTAATACCCATTTAACTCAGCTCAACTATGTGCTGGATGAGGAGAGGTCAGGAAAGGAGCTTATCGTCCAAAGTACTAAGATGGCTCTAACACGGTCTGACTTTCAAACTCTTGGTTTAAAACGAGATATGGAGTCTACTGTGAGTATCGTTTTTTTATTGCTCTGCTAATTTGGCTACAATATTGTCATATTCTAAATTGTTTATTTATTTTTTTTTCAGATTGGAAATGCCTGCTTTGAGATCATAGAAAAAGTCGCGCAAGTCAAGGTAAAATACAAAATGTGGTTGGAGGCAACAATGATTTGTTTTAATTATGATTGATAGGGAAAGAACATTTTCGTTGTGGACCTATATGTTGTTCCAACTTGGCGGGAACCATATTCCTGTGACCCTCTGGCCTCCTTTCCTGTAAGTTGCAAATGGTTTGTTGACTCAGGAGATCTACTGCATAGTCATTTAATTTCTACTAAATATTAGACGGATCCTCACCTCAAAGATGCCATAGTGGTCCCTATTTGGAAACCAGGGCATTACATGTTGTCTGTAAGTATTCTGTATAACTTTTCGGAGGGAGACAAATTAAGTAGTATAACAATGTAAACGTTAATGAAATGCAAATACAGGTTTTGAGGCCAAGCCAGAGAGAAGTGCTATTTCTGGATTCCCAATATGCAGTGGCACAGTTTGGATTTGGTGATTCGAAAATAAGGGGAATCCTGAGGTCACCTTTTAGTATGATTACGTGGTTCCTGTTCCTTTGCCGTTCCGCAGAGAGGTTATTGAGTTCTTCAGATCACGTTCGGATCTGTACTTTAAGGGCTTTTAAAGATGTTAAAAAAGATATTCATGACTTGTTTTTCTAAAGAAACTATTGAATGTAAAAGATGGAGGGCAAAGGCAGGAGCGAGAGAGGAGAGAAGTTACAATAGAGGACATGCAGGTAAAGACTTATCCTGCTGTCTCACCTGTGCGACTGCTTATTTAATGTTCACATTGTCCACAAGATGGAGACAACTCTGCTCTTGAAGTGTAAAACCTTTTGGCACATACAGCCAAGTAATTTGAATAGAAGATGCATCTTTAAATGCCCTGTAGATTTCTGTTCAAGTTCAACATTTGAACTTTTTAATGCTATGCATGCAGCTTAATGATTAATGTATTGCTTTTCACTGAAGCATCTATCCACAATGTTATTGTAGAAATGTGTGCAAATCCATAATCCCTGGGGAACCATGAACAGAGAGGATAGGTTTGGAAATGCAGGTAAGACAATTGGAAATGAGAAATGCCAAATAATTCACACTAATCTCTCCAATTGTTTTTCTTTTTTTGTTCATTTTTTTTTTAAAGGATCTTCCAAAGCAGCTATATGGCAATGATTGCGGCATCTTTATGTTGATGGTATGGCTTCCATTTCACATATTTTCTTACATTGATTAATATTAACCAAACTTTACCCAAACCCAACTTTCCAGTACACTGTACTGGAAGCGCAGTTTGACTTCACAGTTGTAAGTATATCCTTTTTCTTGGGCATGAGCTTGGCTCTACCTCATAGTGTAGGGACCCCCTCATGATCCTACGAAATGGGCTCTGTGCATGACCAGCTGTTGAAACTACATCTGCCTAGGAAATGTCAGACAAGTTTCCTGTTCTGTCTGTAAAACTACAGTTACATTGCTAACTAATAATTGACTCTTCTTGGACTTTTAAGGAAGACATGCCAACTCTGAGGAAATGGTGGTGTTTGTTACTGATGGAGACCTTTGACCTTGGGAGGTGAGATTCATTTGTTCTCAAAGTATTACTCGAAGAGAATGTTTCTATTGTCAATATTCTCAATGTTCCATTAATACCCTCTTACTCAAGCTATGGCAAATTATTTGCCCATTGGACGGAGGAAGCCAAGGCTATGCTTCGAGGGGAAGTACAGCCAGTTCTGAGGGTGAAAAAGCGCAAGTTGGCACCTGTACAACAGACAGACCTGTTGCCTGCTACACAAGTGAGTCATAAAACTTGGGTTCTTATCCAACAGTCTTTCACTATTGGATTTTTTTGATTGCAACTACCTACCACAGGAATGTAAAATACAATGATTTATAGTGAATGCAAGGAGACTGAGAACAAGAATTTTAATATCCTCATGGCTCATGTGTGAGCAGCCATACCCACACATACACTGAATTAAAATGGTGCATGTGGACCCACGCACCAGCTGTGTCATTGCAAACTGATAAATAGTGTTATCTATAAATTGAATCCACAAATGAAAGAAAAAAATAATAATAATTAAAGTGGAAAATCTGTTCTCTGCACTGGGAGAACAGGAGGGTGGTCAAAAGAGCTAATGAGCAGCTATGAGACCATTATCAGTTTATTTGTGCACGGATAAACCGGAGGAGCACGAGCCCTCCCAAGGCGATCCATTAACTGTTAATACATTTAAATTCACATTGATGTTTGTCTTCATTCTAGGAACATCGAGACCGGAAAGTCCTAAAAGATTGTCAATTAGCAGCAAGCTGGGCAAAGGACAACCTGTTTTTATTCACTGGAAAAATACAGTTTCCTCCTGTGCTGGATTGGGAAGGAGATGAAGCTGCTAAGGCTGAAGCAGACTTCTCCCAGTTTAGGGAGACTGGTTTTGACCCAGACAGTGAGGAGCAAGAGAACATCTTGGAGCCCTTCAAGTTTGTGTTCTCTCATATTGAGGACATGGAACGCTTTTCTGTTGAGTGTGTTGATAAGATGGGATATGTGTTGTATTGTGAATGTATAATAAATAATTGAACGGCCTTATCATTGATAATTTATTCACCACAAAAGGGGAATGTTCAGTATAGCATCACAGGTTACAGAACGGTAGGAAAATCAAAAATGTGTGTAGACCTATAGGTCAAGCTAACTCTTATTCCTCTAAAATAGAAAAAAATAGTGGATACCTATGTAACTTTAAAGCTGTTGTGAGAATAATATAGATGAATGGAATAAGCATCTAGAAGTTGCAGCCCTTTACTATAATAAAACCTCGCGACGGTATCTCTACCATGTATATATTGTCTTTTTGACGTGTTTTCATGTGCTATACTATGGGTGACATGTAGGTGGCGCTCTTGTAAACAAATGGCCACAGAATTTTCCTTTGGCATCCCAAATGCCCAGATGAAAACAGGGATCGCTCATATACATAATACCTGGTCACAATTTGTGGAACAAACGTCACTATTTTTGTTTGTTACATAATATAAAGCTTATATTTAACATATAGTATATAACTTTATGAAGAAAAACGTTTTAAGTCGCAGTGAAGTGACACAGCAAAGGTCACGTGACAGGGGCTCCTGATGGAGGTCACGTGACAGGGGCTCCTGGTGGAGGTCACGTGACAGGGGCTCCTGGTGGAGGTCACGTGACAGGGGCTGAACATGGAGGTCTGCAAGGGGGGGGGATTCTGCAGCCAGATGCCTCTCCATTTAGCTGCATTTGGAGCCATTTTGTCCATATTTCTTTACAGTTTCTCGCTCATTACCATTCCCCAGATTTAACATCATCAGAGTCAATATTCTCATAAACCAGTGGTGTCAAACTTATTTTGGTTGAGGGCCGAATAAAAAATGAAAGGGCTGATCAGGGGCCGAAAGAAGAAGTGGGTTTCATTTATTATACTTTTTAATAATGTGAAGGTATCTAAATAAATGACTTCACATTAGTTGGATTGGAGATCCGCCCTGCCTCCTCTCTGCCTCCGCCCTGCCTCCGCCCTGCCTCCGCCCTGCCTCCGCCCTGCCTCCTCTCTGCCTCCGCCCTGCCTCCGCCCTGCCTCCTCTCTGCCTCCGCCCTGCCTCCTCTCTGCCTCCGCGCTGCCTCCTCTCTGCCTCCGCGCTGCCTCCTCTCTGCCTCCGCGCTGCCTCCTCTCTGCCTCCGCCCTGCCTCCTCTCTGCCTCCGCCCTGCCTCCTCTCTGCCTCCGCGCTGCCTCCTCTCTGCCTCCTCGCTGCCTCCTCTCTGCCTCCGCGCTGCCTCCGCGCTGCCTCCGCGCTGCCTCTGCGCTGCCTCCTCTCTGCCTCCGCCCTGCCTCCTCTCTGCCTCCGCCCTGCCTCCTCTCTGCCTCCGCTCTGCCTCCGCGCTGCCTCCTCTCTGCCTCCTCTCTGCCTCCTCTCTGCCTCCTCTCTGCCTCCGCGCTGCCTCCGCGCTGCCTCCGCGCTGCCTCCGCGCTGCCTCCGCGCTGCCTCCGCCCTGCCTCCGCCCTGCCTCCGCCCTGCCTCCGCCCTGCCTCCGCCCTGCCTCCTCTCTGCCTCCGCTCTGCCTCCGCCCTGCCTCCTCTCTGCCTCCGCCCTGCCTCCTCTCTGCCTCCTCTCTGCCTCCGCCCTGCCTCCTCTCTGCCTCCGCTCTGCCTCCGCCCTGCCTCGGCCCTGCCTCCGCCCTGCCTCCTCTCTGCCTCCTCTCTGCCTCCGCCCTGCCTCCGCCCTACCTCCGCCCCTGCCTCCTCTCTGCCTCCTCTCTACCTCCGCCCTACCTCCGCCCTACCTCCGCCCTGCCTCCTCTCTGCCTCCGCCCTGCCTCCGCCCTGCCTCCGCCCTGCCTCCGCCCTGCCTCCGCCCCTGCCTCCGCCCTGCCTCCGCCCTGCCTCCGCCCTGCCTCCGCCCTGCCTCCTCTCTGCCTCCTCTCTGCCTCCGCCCTACCTCCGCCCTGCCTCCTCTCTGCCTCCTCTCTGCCTCCTCTCTGCCTCCTCTCTGCCTCCGCCCTACCTCCGCTCTGCCTCCGCCCTACCTCCGCCCTATCTCCGCCCTACCTCCGCCCTGCCTCTGCCCTGCCTCCGCCCTGCCTCCGCCCTACCTCCGCCCTGCTCCTCACCGCAGCTGCATTCGCCATCAGCCGCAGCAGAACAGTGTTGTTTATTGGCACACATCCTGACACTTCATGCACAATGGAGCAGTTATGAATAATAAATGGTCGCTCACAGAGAGGGCTGCGTTCCCCTGCAGACACACACCGCCACGACCAGGAACATGGAGACAGCGGAGGAAATCCTGCACTTCTGAGCCACAGCCCACAACAGCTTTCATCACAGCCCTTCAATATCTCATTAGGATCTCGCCGCGATGAAGAAGAAGAAGAGGAGGAGGATTAGCAGAAGACAAATCAAGGAGTAATCGGAAAGTTACTGCTGCGTCCAAATGTTAATTTATAAACAGAAGGTGGGGGATTGATTTCAAACCTGCAGAACATCATTTCACATATATTCACACTAATACAGGTTTGAAAGAAAAAAAGAAGTGAATATTGTAAAAAGAATATGGAAACTCATATCTGTAAAAACAAATTATTTTTCCTAAGTCACCACATTGAAAAGCTAAGAGTAATAATAGCAAACAGTGCATATTTCATTGGGGCGACAGTGGCTCAGTTTTGGCCTAATGGTTGTGGGTTCGATCCCCCCATAATATCGACTCCCACTGACATCTGTTGTTGTTGTGTCCCTGGGCAAGACACTGACCCCATAAAGACCAAGGCCTTGCTGTCGCCGAAAGAGCAGCCATTCTCCCGTGGACCCACAAACCGAGGGAAGATCAGTGAGGAGCTGCTGCTAAGAGAAATGGGAGGTAGCTCAGATTGACAGCTCCCAGACCCAGAATAAAAATGGGACAAAATTGAAAAATGTATGAACATATATTATTTGTTGGTTGCTTTCCCATTATGATCTTAGATGCGGTCTATCAGTCTACAAGATTATCAGTTTTTTTCTAACTCACTTTACTTGACTTTACCTTCACACTGTGGCAGGGTGCCCCACAGACAGACTATAGATCCATGGACTGAGGCTGTAGATCTAGGACTGAGGCTGTAGACCCCGGACTGAGGCTGTAGACCCAGGACTGAGGCTGTACAGTAGATCCAGGACTGAGGCTGTAGACCCAGGACTGAGGCTGTAGATCCAGGACTGAGGCTGTAGACCCAGGACTGAGGCTGTCGACCCAGGACTGAGGCTGTCGACCCAGGACTGAGGCTGTCGACCCAGGACTGAGGCTGTAGATCCAGGACTGAGGCTGTAGACCCAGGACTGAGGCTGTAGACCCAGGACTGAGGCTGTAGATCCAGGACTGAGGCTGTAGACCCAGGACTGAGGCTGTCGACCCAGGACTGAGGCTGTAGATCCAGGACAGGCTGTAGATCCAGGACTCCATCAGGCAGTTAGCAAGTTCAACAACAATAATAATAATGCATTGGTTTTATACAGCACTTTTTTAGACACTCAATGATACTTCACATTCCTTCACTCCATACACAGAGGTGAAAAGCTTCTGCCGCAACCACAGCTGCCCTGGGCGAGGCAACCATGTGCCACCGGCCCCTCCGACCACCACCAACCATTCACACACACACCAGACTGATTCTAGGAAATGTGGGAGAAGTGTCTTGCCTAAGGACACAACAACAGTTTAGCACTTTACAGCCGCCCCACTGTGGCACCTGGTGTTCCCAGAGGTCTCACATCGCAGAACTAACCAGGCCCTGTCCTGCTTAGATTCAAAGGTCTGGGTCAAGTTTATATTAATGTGAGCAATAGTTACATGTGTAAAAAGGCAACGGTAATGGTTCCTTGGTTTCTGACACAGACCAGATTCAGAGACCGTGAAGTTCAGCGTCAAACAGGAGAACATTATTATTAGCAGAAGATTGAGACGGTTCTGGAAGATTTTTAAACGATTATGCACAAACGTGTCTCTGGAGGTGATTGTGTACACTCTGTGAAACAAAACTATTAATATTTGTCTCACGTTTAATTGTTTTACACGTTTGGAGCTTCTTCACTTTCTGTTTAATTCAGTGTCTTGACTCTAATATCAACTCGCTGGTACAGTCGTGAGCTGCAGAGTTTGAATAGATTCCTGTCTGTGTTCCTTCTAATGTTGTCCTGTTCAGCAGTATTAAACCCACAGGCTCACGAGGCTGAGTGTGTGATCAGCAGCACATCTGAATATGAAGCACCGATGACAGCCCTGAGGAGACATCTTTGAGCCCAGCAGAAGGAAGTCAGTGCCATCACTCTGTCAAACTCACATCTCGCTTCCCGCCTTTCTTTCATTCCCCGTTCTGAGCATTCCCGAATCATCCCACAGCCTGCAGCGGTGAGCACAGCCGACTTTTAGTGCACGTCCGCTGTAGACGGGAAGCGTGGGGGCCGGGGTGCATCCTGGGCCACCCTCACCAGGGAAAGTGACAGCGCGGATAATTGGCACTAATCAAGTCAGCGGCGCATTCAGACAGTCTGTATCCACACAAAGGGACTGACCCTCGGATGCAGAGCCCAGGGCCTGCGCTCTCCACAAAATCTGTCAATCCGTTCGCGCGACAGTCGTCAGCTTCGGTCAATATGCAAAGAAGCTGAGCGAGAGCAGCAGCACGGGGAGGGAAAGCATTCAATCACTCATGGAAACTGGGATGTTACAGAGAGCATACTACATTATTCTTTTTTATAACATCTCTTACAGCGATGGCTTTGAATTACAGAGGACTTTTTGTCAAAAGTGAGCAGAAGATAAATCAAAAATTCATCTGAGGAGCTGGTGCGGCAGGGCGAGGCGAGGATACCTCTGGTGGAACCAACATTTGCAAAAGTTCTATCTCCTAAAGCAATTATTAGCGGTGATAGTTTGACATGTACCAGAGTTGTCAACAACTGACTTTAAACAAAGTACAAAGCAGAAGTAAACAGTGCCGTGGGCAAAATTAACTTGGGGGACTCGCCACCTCATGAATTATAAATGGCCATTACTGCAGCGGCACCAGGAGGATGCTGGGGAAGAGACTAACCTATTTTCACAGCATCTGAAAGTCAACTCGCACACACAGGCGCAGCACAAAGCAGAGCAAGGAAAAATGAGCTTGTTATTTAGTAAACGAGTTGTGTAATTTCTAAATTGTAGCAAACTAAGCGTGGAACACCCCCGGGGCCGTGTCATCTGCTCAACATGTTTGCCGACTAACTGCCATTCATTTGCAAATGAGCTCCCTCCCAGAGCAGATTTTAATCCATCTCATTAGCAAAGTGGCCGATGCATAAAAGCCGTGTTGTATCTGCTTAATCCGGGACAGAGCAGTGAGCAAACATCGGAGACGACGTCAGGTCAAAGCCTCGTGATTGGATTGAGACGTTAGATCTTATTGGCACAAACAACCGAATCCATCAGTTTAGGAGTTGAGAAACACACGGGTTGGTTTGGTCCGAAAGATAAGTCAAAGAAATAGGGATATACTCTCTGTTGAAGCACAATGTTTTTATTGGGATAAACTTGAAGCGGCTCAAGATACGATGGACTGAAATATGTTCTCCCGATCCACGCCTCTTCCAAAGACCTTTCATTTCTGCTTCATTTCATTTAAAGAGACAGTATGAAGCTCTCTGGAGGCGGCACATCCGATTCTATGGAAACAGAAAGTTATGATCTACTTTTTTTAAGACACTAAGGAAGACTAAAGCCAAAGGAACGAGACACGAGCCTGATACGGACAAACACATTTTAAACTTTTTCCAACAAAAATAAAAACAAAACCCAAAATTAAAGTCTAAATTATTTGCACATTGTTTTATAAATATTGATAATATTTATGGGGTGACTCTAGAAGCATTCCTCTCACACATAGCCAGCTGCCCCACATTTCATTTAGAATATTTTTTTTAGCCACAAATAAACATAATTACAGGGTTCCTTAAATAAACCAAATAGTATAATTCTTTTATTATTTTTGGATTTTGAATATGTTTGATTTGATTAATTATACATGCATTTATTTTAAACAACGGAACACATATTGGTTGATATTCAGAGCTTTGTCCAATCTCCAGATTCTATTTAAATGTGCAAACACGCCTCGGTGCAGAGAGAGTCTCAGGTGGACATGGCTCGTCAGCAGCAGGAGTTTAGACTGATGTGTGAGAAGAGCCAGAGGAGCCGTCTGTCTGAGGACCAGCACGACCATGAAGGACCATAACTGGCAACGCAGTCCCTCCTGAACGGTGCCCAAAGACACACAGCCTCAAGAAACAACGGTGACATCACTCATGAGCAACTTCATGAAGCCGTTTAATGAACAGTCCTTCCTCTCAGCCATAGGAGCGAACAGAAGTCCTTCCTCTCAGTCATAGGAGCAAACAGAAGTCCTTCCTCTCAGTCATAAGAGCGAACAGAAGCATAGTCCTTCCTCTCAGTCATAGGAGCGAACAGAAGTCCTTCCTCTCAGTCATAAGAGCGAACAGAAGCACAGTCCTTCCTCTCAGCCATAAGAGAGAACAGAAGTCCTTCCTCTCAGTCATAAGAGCGAACAGAAGTCCTTCCTCTCAGTCATAAGAGCGAACAGAAGTCCTTCCTCTCAGCCATAAGAGCGAACAGAAGTCCTTCCTCTCAGCCATAAGAGCGAACAGAAGTCCTTCCTCTCAGTCATAAGAGCGAACAGAAGTCCTTCCTCTCAGTCATAAGAGCGAACAGAAGTCCTTCCTCTCAGTCATAAGAGCGAACAGAAGCACAGTCCTTCCTCTCAGTCATAAGAGCGAACAGAAGTCCTTCCTCTCAGTCATAAGAGCGAACAGAAGTCCTTCCTCTCAGCCATAAGAGCGAACAGAAGTCCTTCCTCTCAGTCATAGGAGCGAACAGAAGCAAAGTCCTTCCTCTCAGTCATAAGAGCGAACAGAAGCACAGTCCTTCCTCTCAGCCATAGGAGCGAACAGAAGTCCTTCCTCTCAGTCATAGGAGCAAACAGTAGTCCTTCCTCTCAGCCATAAGAGCGAACAGAAGTCCTTCCTCTCAGTTATAAGAGCGAACAGAAGCATAGTCCTTCCTCTCAGTCATAGGAGCGAACAGAAGTCCTTCCTCTCAGTCATAAAAGCAAACAGAAGCGCAGTCCTTCCTCTCAGC